CACCAGTCCCGAATCTAGTCTTCTCAGCACATCTGGAGTCTCTTCAAACCGCAAGTCCGATCAGTACTCAATTCGCTCCGGTGCATCCAAGTCCTCTATCAACAACCCCAAATTACTCGAGACGGTTGAAGATGCGATCAGGAGATTGATCCTACCGGAGCTAAAGGAGCTCAAGAAAGACCAAAAGGTCATGACCAACAGCAACAAATTTGATCGGGACATGGCTACATCTTATTCGTCCGGCACAAGCTCCAGAGATGAGCTAGGCCGACGTCTCTCCAAGCACGCCAGTGCACCGGATGTCATGAAGCCCAAAGTTGTTCTGAACAAAAATAGCAAAGACGAGGGCATTGTTCTTTCTCCCGAGTCGGCTCCACGCAACATGAATAACGAGCGCAAATCAAGCAAAAGCAGCGAAGTCTCTGATATGGCGGTGAGATGGGCCAATCGACCTGACTACACCGAGCAAGACAAGATCCGCAGGCAGAAGAGCAAGGGTCTTCGTGATGCCCATGCGGCTGCCCGAGTCGGTTCTGCTCTCACGGCGGCTTCTTTGAAACACCACGACTCCAACTCTAGTCTCGGCAAAAAGGAGCACCGCCGAAATAGTGGCTCCCGGAAAAGTGGCTCACGCAAGAGCACCGAGAGTATGAACTACAACGAAACGGAACTTGTTTTCCAGAAGCACAATGTTGCGCCAATGCCAATGCACAGCGAGATCGACTCCGAGTTGACCAGAAACTCGTTGCTCTCTGAGCGAACGGCGAGTCCCACTCCCGAAAAGCAGGCCTCCTACTTCGACGTTCCTCGCGGATCGCCGGGCCACGCCATGTCGCCAGCTTCTCGCACTCCTACTAGAAATTCTGTCGACTCGCGTTATGAGCTCGGGATGCGCCATGGCAATCAGTCGCATCATAATGTCTCGGTGCACAGTGCATCGGAGCGTGACCTGCATCGCCAGAGTCAATCTCCTGGAACCGACGGTGGCAACTGGGAGATTGCGGCTGCGGCCGCAGCTAATCTCCTTGACGCCGCTCACCCCGGGCATCACGAAACGGAAGATGGCTATCACCATGAAACTACTGGCCGCGGATTGAGCCCTATCCAGAGCATTGCAAGTGATCATACCGGCACTCACAACGACCATTACTCGACTCACGGCGAGTTTGTGGACGGCAAACGTGACATTGAACCCCGACTCTCCATTGACTCTCTGTCATCCGCCCCCAGTACAAACCTTGCGAGGTCCACCCGCCAGGGCACTAGCTCACATAGCCAGAGCGGATTTTTCAAGCAACACAGCCAGGACTCACCCGGGCTCGGGTATGAACATTCGCGCCAGGGCTCCCAAGACAATGGCTTCTACGGTTACGATGAGGAGAGCAGACGCTCTGTTGACGATGGAGATAGCGATGTTGACTTCATGGATAAAGTCAAAGAAAGCCAGCCTGTGGCAACCGGCATTGCTGCTAACCCGCAATTTATTCACCCGATGGCCGTCGAATCTGCAGTCGCTTCCTTGATGGATCCATCTGTCCTTGAATCTCAAATCTCATCCACAAACCGCTCTCAAACCGATCTGGGTCAACGATCAGGCAGCCGAAGCCCCGAAAAATCAGGAAGCGAAGTCTACCGCGGAAGCCCCTTGAAGCAACGCCAGGATGCTTTCAATACTGATGAGACCTCGTTCCCTCGACGCATGGGTGCCACATCGCCCCCTCAGAGCGTTACCCAGTCCTTTGAGGACATGGACGACTCCGCTATGGTGGCTGGCAACGTCCCGCGCGGAATGGAGAGTCCTCTTGGGGATGCTGAAAGCCAAGAATCGGAGTCTGAAATCAACACTAACCCGTCCATTATACAGGGTCCCATCGGTGGTGTCGCTCAGCCGGATCACTGGGGATATGATTCAAGGTCTCCGCCAGCGGATCACTATTACGATAAACAAATTGGTGGATCCAAGGGTCTCAATGCCGATCAGCAAACAGAACTTGATGCGGAATACTACCAGACAGCCCAGAATATCTTTGGTGGCGATGACTATTCTGCCCACTCTGGCGACAACCAACCCCGGCAATTGTTTGGTACCCCTCCTGGTGCCAAGGATGAAGGCTATGTTTCGGCTGCCAACCCCATGTCTCCTAGCATCGGGACCCCGAAGCAAGCTAGTCGAGGTCTTGCGGGCGTGGATGCCGCTGGAATGGGTAGCTTAGACAGTCATGCTGGGGCAGGCGATCCTTTTACATCTGGTCATGAACGCCACTTTAGTGGCTACTCTCACGGAGTTGGCTCACCACTCTACGACAGTGCCACCGGCCGAGGTATCGAGAGAATTCAGTCTCAGGATATTGTAGCTCTTATGGATCATTTGACTGTTCGAGATGCTCAGCGGAATGCCAGAGATACCGAGATCCTGGTTACTTTGGTTCGAAGTGCTGCTGAGATGCGCACCTCCTTCGAGCAGATGAAGAGATTCATCGCTGACCAAGATGAGCTCATCATGGACACTAGCGACAGGGGACATGAGCGGACTCATAAGGCGCTTGGTGGTCCCCGGCCATTGCCCCCCAGTGCTTCTCGGAACCGACAGCTGAACACGGCTGACGAGGAAGACAAGCGGAAGAGCATCTTCAAGCGTGCGCTGAAGGGATTAAGTCTCAAGTCGGGCAGTGATTTGACCAAGATTGAAGGCATGCTCGAGCAGCTGCTTGGCGAGGTTGAGGCCCTGCGATCCGGACAAGATGGCTTGAGCCCCTACGCCGGCACCAGAATGGGAAGCATGGAGCCAAGTGGGTACGACAATATTGGTCCTAACGGAGTACCTGTCGAGACGAGCCGCTCTCCTTATGGGTCTAGCTCTTCTCGCCCGGCTAATGGGCAGCGCAGAGATTCGGATCAGCGAGTCAGCACCGTCCACGAAGTTGACGAAGACCTTGAGCTTGACGAGGGTGACCAGTTCGTGACCTCACATCTCCCTGTCCATGAGCGACCTGGCCACGAACGGTCAGGCTCATTGCCGCTTGATACGCCTCCACGCAAGCCGGTGGCCACATCAGCTCGCAGCACCGAGACAACCCCCAAGGCCCGCAAACACAAGTCCAGCAGCTCTTCCATTTTCCCGAAGATTTCCCGTTGGTCCAAGTCCACGGCCACCTCCATGGGAGACGGCATTCGAAACAGCATCCAGCCCTCCCGCAAGGAGCGTCCGACCTCGGACGAGTCTCGATCTGGATCTGATCTCGCACCTCTTGGCGCATACAAAGGCGACTATTATGATCCCCAGGGGGATGACAGAATCCGATCCACTTATACCCTGGACGACGAGCACGATGAGAACAGACCCCCTTCCCCATTAGTGCCTTCCCAGGTGTCCGAGGTACCCAAGTACCGCGGCCACCGCGGTAGTCTCGAGCTACAGCACCCCCAGCCTCGACAAGGCCCAACTGGACGTTACCAATCCCGTCTTGAAACTGAGGCCCAGGTCTACGGAGGTCCGATTTCTCCTGCTGGCTCAGAGCAATGGGAATCCAACCCCAGCCTCCCCGCGGTCCAGCCTCCCCAAAACCGCAACAGCGGTGTCAGCGGAACCACGCGTCTGTCCCCGATCTCCGACGCAGGCTACTCGGAGACCAGCTCCCGCGCAAACCGTACACCGGGCCCACCCCGTCCTCCTAAGGTCAAGGACGCGGGCCCTCTCATTCCCGAGCGTCCACCCAAAGTGGCGGATGACGAAGAACCTGCTTACAGCGGCGATCGTGTCGTTTCCAGAGTATGTATTCCAAAAGCCCCCTACTTACCCTTTTGAATAAATGCTAACCTTCACCCTCTCTAGAGCTCTGCCATCTGCTCTCCCCCCACACGTAAGCCAACTGGCCCGCGTCCCCTCGCCTCTGCCGGCTCCTACAGCCCAGGCAACGTCAAGCGAACCCGCTACCGAGGCAGTCCCGCGCAAATCGACTATGAAGATGAGCAATATTGAGACTTGCACCGTGATACCCCTGGGTTGATGTTTTCGATTTCCATTTCCCTCTAGCGCTTTTGCCTTTTTCTCTTCTCCTTACGACAGTTATGACCGTTCACTGGAACTCCGGTTTCAGTTCCTCTACCCCCGAATCTATGAGCAATGTGTGTGTTTAAATGTTTACAATATTTCCTGCCTTTCATGTTTACGTCAATGGTCATGGGATGAGGGGGAAGTTATGTCTTCTCTTCGCCTTCCTAGCTCTTCTTATGCTAAGTTTCTCTGCTTATTTTTATGGTCTTGCTTCCGGGCATGCGGCTGCAGCTGCTCTCGTTTGTCTAGTGAGCGTGCTAGGCTTTAGGCCTCTTGTTTGTAGCTTTTGTGTTGTGGTGTAGATAGTGGTGCAGAGGGAGACATAATCTATTCCAATTTCAAGGTGTGGAATGATCTTTTAGGTCTTCGTGTTATTTTTTATTTGCAGATGTCAAGGAGACATAGAAACTTGATGGGTTGAGTTCATACTGCCTTAGTGTGGGTATTATGTAGTAATTGTGAAGGCACATAAGTTTAACAACATGAGGCACTGAGGTCTTGACGCTTCATGCCTTCCACACCCTATGATCGTGATTGAAGACGAGCACGCCCATAGGGGAGGGATCCGAGGTAAACTCATCTTCTAGCTCGATTTCAATTCGTGATTGATTCGAGACTTTTGATCCTCGATGAAGATGTGATGGAGAATGAAAGGAAGATGGCATGAGATATTTGCCATAGAGGGCGGCTTTTCCGCCAGTGTAAAAATTTGAAAATAGCGATACTGATAGTAACGGATGTATCAATAACAGATGTGATCTTTGGTAATGAATGAATAGTAAAGCCCCAAGCACAACGCTGACTCTGATGCCATTTCCCAAAAGAAAAAACAAGAGAGACCCAATTCAAAGAATACAGTCCAACAACGATCACAATCGCCATAGGTATATCATCTACAGAAACCGGGCATACCAATGAAAATGCCCCATGGCCAAAAAAAAAAGCCCTAGTAATCCGAGAAAGGCCGGACAGAGGTAGTCCCCTTACCACTAACAGCATAAGCAGTAGCAAGCGAGCTATAATCCAGCGAATCACTAACAGGGAACTTCCCCGGATAACTCTCGACAGAGTGACACTTGCGCGCACGATTCATCTGCACCGTCTCAGAATCAACAGTCGCATCAATAGTCGCCCCAAACGGGACTGGCTGCTGCATTTTGATTCCATTCGCTGGTCCAGGGTCACTGAAGTGATCTGCAACACGCGTAGACGCAGACATGGGCACGGGGAAAGACACGTTCTCGACGAAGCGAGGCTGCGAAGTGCGCACTGGGATTGGAACTAGCTCTGGTTCCGCCCGTTCTTCGTCTGAAGGCGAGCTGTCCAGATTCCGTGGGATGATGGTCAGTGGCTGGCGGAAGATAGCCTTTGCTGAGTTGGCGAGCTTTGAGATACTTCCTCGTGTGCTGAAGTGGATCTTACGCAGGGTCTCGTAGATGGGGGAGTTTTCTCGGTGATGTTCCGTGCCCCGGGATGATGTGGGACTTTCTTGTTCTGATGAGGAATTTGAGTCTTGATTTCCCTGCTGTGGCCATGTTGAGCTGGCTAGCAAGTTTGGGGTGGGTTGAGGGGCGGTGTGGATGTAGTTGTTCTCTTGGTTCAGGGGACCATTGCCCGATGAAAGGTGCCACTGGCGCTCTGTTGCTGTTGCTGTTGCGGAACTATAAGCTGAGAGTGGGACTGCGCCGAGGAGGCTGCTGATAATTCTTGTTTCTGTGCGGTCGATGGCTTTGTTGAGGGGTGGAAACTCCCGCCGTGTGTTCCAGAATGGTCGTGCGAGGTAGGAGATTGCGTATAGAAGTTGCAGCCAGGAGAGCAAACGGATTAGGAATATTGTTTTTGAGAGGGAGACGGGGAATACTCCCATTGCTGTGAAATTCTTTTGATCCATGGTGTAGGAGAGAGGAGAGGGGAGATATTGAAGTCCATCTTTAGGAAAGAAGCTTGAAGCATAGTCCTGGAAAGAACGATCGAAAGTCTGAATAACAACAGAATAAACTCGGCTCTTATCTCGGAACCCAAGGTTGGGAAGCTTGGAACCTTGGAACGTTATAGATCGTTCCCGCGGCTCCACTTGGCTGACTCCGCCTCTTCAACCTCCTCTCTTTGATGTCCATACACGCTGCTCGTTCAATCATGTCTGCTATGGCCTGCAAGTATCTTCGTCCGCGAAAGTTCGCACCTCTCGGCTCTCCCGAGACGTCGACTGCTCCTCCACTGAAGGGAATTGTGTTTGATGTGGATGGAACTTTGTGGTGAGTCATTTTTCTTTTCTGATACTGTATAGAGTTTACGCTGGATCTCCTGTTCTCTGTTGGACATTAGCTTGTTGCTTGCGCCCTGGAAAACTGATATATACGTCTTGGTGCTATTCTTGGAAAGGGGCAGGAAGTGATGATCAATTCAAGATCCAGGCAAAAGCATATTTTCCCATTCGGAAAATGCCTAGCTTTAACAATGCCTCCGCGGGTAGCCTGAGAATTTTTTGGCTTGGTTCTACATTTGCTTGATAATTTGCTTCAGGTTAGATGATAATTGCTGCGGCCTGGGATCTGGGTCGTAGTAGTTGAGTGGAGGCCTTTTATGCTTTTCTAGTTTTACATCATATGTCGGCTTTTCTGCTTTGTTCTTTTGTTGTCTGGCGTGTTGGTTGATTCTAATTATACCATGCATTTTAACATGTTATTAAATTAACTTTTTTTGACTGAACCTCGCTGACCTCGACCAGTTTGCCACAGCATCATATGTTCAGCGAAATGAGGTACGATCTCAGAACAACGAGCTATCCAAACTTTAACCCATGGAAGCCTGTCTAACCGATCTCCCACTGTAGAGAAGCACTAGGAATCGATCGCTCCATCGACATCCTCCAGCACATCCGCGAACTCCCCGCCGGAGAACAAGCCACAGCCGTATCCAAAGTGCAAGCTGTAGAGCGCCGAGCAATGGCCGATCAGAAACCACAGCCCGGTCTGGTTCGCCTAATGGACTACCTGAAATCCCGCGGCTTGCGACGGGCACTATGCACTCGGAACTTCGAGTATGTCATACAAGCAATTGACACAACCGGGAGTTTCATCCTGGTCAATTAATGCACCTATAGCGCTAACATAATTCGCATCTCCCAGAGCACCAGTCCAGAACCTGATTGACAATCATCTCGACGGTCATATCTTCTTACCGATCATCACACGGGACACGCCCAATCTCCTGCCCAAGCCTGATCCCGCGGGCATCCTACATATTGCAAGTGAATGGGGTCTTGCTAATGGTGAGAATTTGATCATGGTTGGTGACAGTATTGACGATATGACGGCTGGACATATGGCTGGTGCAGCGACGGTGTTGCTTTTGAATGAGCTGAATGTGCATTTGAAGGAACACCCGCATACGGATCTTTGCATTAAGCAGCTGGATGATCTGATCGATATTCTGGAGGAGGGATATGTCGGAACTAGAGAAAATGATGAGCATGGCGCGTGATGGGATTTTGGTGTTCAATCATCTGATGAGATATAGGTAGAGGCTACCGGTTAATGGATGTACTAGATAGTCCAGTCCGCCTATGCAGCATAGGAATGCACTGCAATGTGAGAGATATACCGTCAAAGTGAGATATGTTAGAATGAGGTGTCATTTAATCGTACATACATGCTCAGTCGAGACTGAGCGGAATGGTAGACACTGTGCTATGTACATGGCGGTGTTCGCCGAGATCTTCTGCCCAATTCTCATCGGGGAATAAGCCTTTCTTACCACCCGCGGCCTCTACCGCCGCCGCGTGGTCCACGTGAGAATCCTCCTCCTCGTGGTCCACGGCTTCGGCCACCGCCACCGCCACCACCTCGTGGTGGAGGACCCCGTGGAAGAGGAGGATTTGGGGAGCGTGGGCGATTGTTGTTTCCAGAGAACGTTGCACGACCTCGGGAAGGCCCTCTGGATGGTGCATCGCCACGTCTAGCTCCAACGTTGCTTGAAAACTTGATACTGCCACGGGTATTGCCACGAGGAGCAGGGACGGGGCGTCCTCGGCCTCGGGAGACACGAGACATCATGTCATCGTCGTCTGGGGAGGGAGATTTCCAATCCCTGACTCTTTTGCGGGATTGACTTTGGCTTGGTGGGCGGGTCTCTTGTGGAGGGATGACGGTGTTGAGGTTCGTGATCATGTCTGGGTCGATACCCTTCAGAGTAAATGACGTAGTTTTTCCTACGCGCAATCTGGTAGCTGGGCAGTCTCCTATAAGATGCTTCGCACTGCAACAATTCGCACAGCAGATTGATACCGTGACTTGTTTGGAGTGGAGATCTCTGGTTGGGAACTTCCATAGGAAATCGCAGTCGGATTCCAGGTGCTCCTTGCCACAGTAGTCACAGGGCACTTCGGATGCGAAATTGCGTAGCTTTGCGTCGCATTGCGGCTCGTCGTGGCCACGTTCGCGGCATCTTTGGCATCGTCGCCAGTCGGGGCAAGTACTGCTTTGATGCTGATTCCAGGCACCGCAGTGTTCACACTTTATAGCCAATATTAGTAAAATGAAATGAAGCAACTAGATACAAGATAGAACATACCTCTTTTGCTGGGCAGACGTCGGCCATATGGCCCTCATTTTGACATTCGATGCATGAGATAGGAAGCTTGAGGTCCAGATCATGAATGCTGCGATCGAAATACACGTACTTAGCCAGAATCTCGAGGTCGGTCTGGCTTAGGTCCACCAAAGCAGTAGGCGCATTTGGATACTTGCTTGAGAAAAGCTGGAACGCCTCCTCTTTCGACCCAGGTCCGGATTGTGTAGCACCACCTTTCATATTCGAGTCTCCGGTGTTGGAAGCATGTTGATGAGCCAGAGTCGCAGGGTCATAGTTGTTGGCACCATCCATTTCCATCTTGTCCCCTATGTTCAGCAGGATAGAGTCATCGGCCTCAGAACCAAGAGAATCCGAATCATCTGTGTCACTCTTGGAGTCAATTTCTCCATCTTCCAGTTCGTCATCATTGTCGGATTTATCGTTTGCTTTGGGCTTTTCTTCACCATTGGCCGACGCGACAGATTCACTGCGACTGCGCCAATATTTGTCATTCACCGCTTCAAATTGAGTAGGCTTCTCGTTTGTCGGCGCTGATCGTTTCCCAAGTGTTGTGCGCACTGCAGCCTTCCGACCCTGGTTCCAGCTAATTGCGGGCGCGGTGCTGCCGGCGTGTGGGTTTGCAGTAGTAGTTGGGTCCGCATCGGAATCGGAATCTTCAGCTGATGCTGAACTAGATCCGGAGCTAGACGTGCTATCTGGATCCACTGGCAATGGGCTAGCACTGAATGCAACCCCTTTTGGAACAAAGTCGGTTAGATCTGAGTCCTTCTTATTTCTGCTGCGGCGTTGTCGCTTGGCCGGGCGGGTGCTGTCGTGCGATGCGGAGCGCGAGGTGGAACGCGGATTCGAACGAGTGCGCGGTGCGCCCACCAGGGCTGTGCGTGAATCAGCCTCTTCGTCTGAGGTATTTGCCATTATTAATTGGAGAAGTTCAAGTGTAAGGATAATCCAAATCGAAAGTGAGACTCTGGAAGGATCAACAGTAGAATTTCGGTCCCCAGAAAATTTCACGGTAGACGATATCGACCACTCGCGCAATTCTGAAACTGAAGTATACGCCACCGATATCTGAGGCGATAAGGCGTAGAACCCCCTGATTTGAGTTCTGATAAGATTTTGTCTACTATTTCTGGTTATATCAAGATCTACAGGTGTCTTACTTCTGAAGGTGGTTTGTCCAACTAAATCATTACAGAGAGCACTGGTAGATATTGTTAGCTTGTACATAGACGTATACCAGCCCTGGACAGCAGCAGATAATCTACAAGCAGAGACATGCATACAGAGGTACTTATTGGAAGCATGCAAACGTAAAAGACAGAAGAATACAAGATTGTCACTTAGAAGATCAAGCCAATAGCTCAGTTAATCAATATCAACATGATCTAGACGTGATCCATAACAGTAAGCCCCTTTGACCATAATCAAAATCTATAGATTTATCTAGGCACCAATGATAGGTTGACTATGGTCTAAGACACTAACCCCAAAGAGCCATTAGAAACTCTTCAGACTGGGCGTTGTCTTTGCCGTAAGATCTACCCGTGGAATATAGAAAATCGAGATGATCGACGCCAAGAGTGGGGTTGATGCCGTCTTTGTAGTTCCAAGTTCCAATTGCCAAGGCCATGTTATTATGGATCTTATAGACCATTAGGTTGAATACATGTAATCGAAGTACTGCTGGCTATCTACGAACCGCGGTGAAGGCCGGAACGCGGTCATCTAATGTGTTTCCTGGAACCATCAAGTCCGGGCACTCTCGTTTGCCAAATTGCCAAATTAACCACGAGTTGATTATACAGAGTTGAGCTGGCGGTGTTGGAAATCTACCTATCCAGCACCAGCTCTTAGTGCACAGATTAGAGACCCATGTATGTATTCTTGTTTGCCGATAGCAGACAAGGCTATATGGAAGCGCACAACCTCCAATGGCTAACTAATCATCCTGATATTAACTGCTACAGCTGATACCAGCTGAGTATCAACGATTTCTACCTATTGACTCTGATCAACGATTTACCCCCGGGGGTGGACTAGTACCATCAATACGAACTGGAGGACTCGGTGGCTTGGGCTGAATAAGACCGTGCTTTAGACACGGCAGACTATCATTGCATCTGTATCATTTTCATTTGAAGTATGTCCTTGTGCAATTGCTGCTATAATGGTGTTGAAAACTTCTTACCATGCAATCGCATACGATCCTGGGGCTTGAAGGTCTAACTGTACAAGGATAGGCGGCCGCTTATGCGGCCTTTTCATGTTTTTTTATAATAGTCTTTTCATATACTGTACTCAGATTTTTTTTTCTTAAATGCCTTTTTGGATTTCTTTTGAATATATACAAAGGGTAAAAAGCATAAGCTGTATAGAGGGTCTCTCTTTGTATACCGGGGTGTACTAATATTTTCTGCCTATACTGTCCCCGGTATGGACATAATATCATGGGACACTCCAATCAGGCCACACAATCAAGAAAATAAAAAAGAGTCATATTGGAGTCATAGCTGGGCAAGGGTGGCCAAGTCCATATTTTAACCTATTCTTAGGCATCCGTGGATGTCTCGGACATATTCGCCCCATAAAAGGAAAATGTTAACGATAAGCTAATAAAGCTAGGCAAAAGAGAAAGGATATCTGTTCATCTATCAGGAAGCGTCCCCCTTATTGAATCCTTAATATAGAGTACGGAGTACATGTACATAGTTCTAGTCCTTTCGGGCTAGATTCCGCACATGCATACGTTTGTACATCAATGTAGGGCCAATTATGCATTTGGTTCTAGTTAGATCAATCTAAAAGGCAGGAAATATATTAAGGGAAATTTAATCTAATTATAGAAGGTCTAATGGAAAAAACAAAAACAAAGATAGCCTGAAGGAAAGACGTGAATCAGAGCTCTTCCGCACCCCGTGACCGCAAGCCGATCCAACCGGCAAACTCCAGTCTGGGCCGTGCCACCTCATCCCCACGCTCCTTTTCATTCTTCTCTCCTTCTCTCCATCCAACTTATTCTTTTTTCTTTTGGATCCAACCGTCAAGCTGGCGTCCGACAATTCAAAGGTGTCTTCCCTGTTGACCCCCCGTGGCATCTCCTTCCCTCCGGATGTTGACACATGGCCGCAGCGGCTATCTCCAAGCATGACCTCAAAACAAGGCCGCCGGAGGCGATCCAGCAGTCTTATCTACCAGGAACCGGCCGAATCTATTGAGCATACCAGTGATCAGGCGGCATTGCCAAATCTGAATGCAAACTGGGTGAATGCCAAGGGTGAGTGACAAAAAAAAAGCAGATCCTGGAGACCACATATCACCAGATACAGAAACCAAAGGACTAACGTGGAATTTTGTTTTGATTTTAGGTGCCTGGACCATCCATTTCGTGTGTATCGCCGCTCTCAAGATTTTCTACGACATCATCCCCGGCGTCTCGCAGGAAACTTCATGGACCCTCACCAATATCAGCTACATGTTCGGATCCTTCCTCATGTTCCACTGGGTGCGGGGCATCCCCTTCGAATTCAATGCCGGTGCCTACGACAATCTCAACATGTGGGAGCAGATTGACAACGGCGACCAGTACACACCCGCTAAGAAGTTCTTGCTCTGCGTGCCTATCGTGCTCTTCCTCCTCAGCACTCACTACACCCATTTCGACTTGACCCACTTCACCATCAACTTCCTGGCCACACTGGGAGTGGTCATTCCCAAGCTGCCTTTCGTATGTTATGTCTGCTGGGAAACCAGACAAAACTCCTTTGCTAACGTTGTTTATTACAGTCGCATCGGTTGCGAATAGGTCTCTTCTCCGATATACCCGAGGAGTCATAGTGGCTCCCATTTAATCTTTCCTTTTTTTTCTCGAATTGCTATCCATGTTGGTGTATCCACGGCCTCCTTGGTTTCCCGAGCTTTCTTGCTGTCCCCTCCTTTTCTACATAAAAGGCCTTTGCATTGCGAAATTGATTGGCGGGGATATGAACTGTTCTTGGCTACCGCGCATCCTGTTTCTCTTTTTCTCGTCAGCAAATATGAAGACGCAGAAGTCACTGCGAACCAGTCCAAATTCCCATCCTTTCAATCTGCGCTAGGTAGCTTATCCTTGTCTAGATTTCCAAGTATCCGAGCCCTGGATTTTTTTTACCTTAGAAGCTTCTATTTTTTGGGGGGTCCCTACTCTCTCTTTGAGAGCTGGGCCTGTATGAGGATAGAATGGTTCATTATCCAAGTTCAAGGCCTGCAGTACATTCGATACATTTGGTCAAGAAGCGGTGTTGGACAATGTGCCTCTTAGAATATACTTGAGGGTCTGGATCTCGAAAAGAGAGAGCTTTGGAAATAAAAGCCCCCGGTCACTCTTACTAGGCCTGTCAGTTAAACTTTGCGCTAGGCTTAATTTAGCTAGATGTCGTTCATGTATGTTGTACTTATAGAACACGCAGATTGAACTCTTGCTCAGCCGAATACTTCATTATCGAAATAAGCAGAAATGGTATTCAACAATGGTATGCTACATTTCTGCGGTTCCTAACTGATCACTAAATAATTCTATAGACTCCACTGCACGTAAAGAAAAACGAATCACCCGCGCTGCCAGACAGGCAACCCTGCTGGAGTACCTAAACAATATTAAACCCGGGAATATGGGATTTTTTTTGGGAAACGGTTGGAATATGGATACACGCCCATGGTGACAACAAATCGAGTACACGTGGTGAGCCTTTTACGGAAACAATGAAAACTTCGACCGATCCCCCTATCTATCGCGTTAGGGTCATGGGAGGAGCACAAGTTATGCTCCAATTCGATGTCGACTCCAAAGACCAGCAGGCAGCCTAGTGATGATGAAATCGTCACACGGCTGAAGAACCAATATCTATGACCGTGGATTATGACTTTGAAGTTTACAAAAGCGCGCTTCATACTCCGGCTCCAACTATAAATACCACTCCGGGCAGCTGCTTCCTCCTTTTCTTCTTCCCTCTCCACGATACAGAAACAGCTTTGGTGAGTATATGCTCTGCTTACTCTATCCTATACCACTATCGTCTCGTCTTTCTACACTGGATTGCCCCTTGTACCCTTCAATTGCATGCCAGCACCTTGATACCAGCAAAGTGGGCCTATCTACCTCTCTCACTCTCACTCACATTGTACAGGCATTTACCTTGCTTTGATCTTCACCAATATTTCACTTACCTTTTATTTGCTCTCACTTGCATATCAATTGCTGCTTCAGCAGTATCTCGCTTGCTGCCCGTTGGCTGCCGTGTATCTTTTACCCCAAGCCCTAAGCTGCAAGAAACCCTTCTTCCACTTGCCATCTCACCGAGGCCAGGTATCTTGCATGCCCCTCAGCCTTCATTTGCTGCTCCATTTGTTTCTCTTGATTATTCTGATATCCTTGCTTGCTGCACATTTGTTTTTCCCTGCTCTGCCTTGATTTCCATCTCTCTTCCCTTGAAACCTTGCCTTTACACCATCCTCCATCTTTCTCCACATCCCTACCCGCATTGAATATTCTATCACCGCGTTCTATCCTGCATATTCATTGTATCACCTTCTCAATTGCCACTGCATTGTCATTCTCATTGGCTCTTGGCTGCAGGCTGGGGTACTTGCTTTATCGCATTGCCTGCCCCTATATTGCCCATTACTCTGCTGCATTGGTCTGTCTTCACATCACTATCTCCATGCACCTCAACATTCTAATGTTTCTTCATTATTAACGCATAACTACAGATTCAAAGAAGCGAAACTTGATCTTTTTCTCTCTTTTTTTGAAAAATAAAAAGGTTGCGGTGGTCAAGATAGCGCTTGACCTGTACTAAAATTTACTCTTCTGCTCTTACTGTGGTTTTCGAATCCTCTCCGGAAGCACCCAAAGAACTGGGGATTCTGAGCCCTTGTCGTCGTCTTACCTTTCTTCTCTAAAACGCACAAAGCTCGCGTTCTCGCTTCATCGCATTTTACTTTTTTTCCGACTACATTTTCTCTCTAACCCGCATTCGTTAAAATGTCCGGGCGTTCTTACGGTGATCTGCCCATTCGAGGCGGTCGTGGTGGTGGTGACCGTGGCGGTTCCCGGGGACGCGGCGATGGAGGTTCGGGTAGCCGTGACAGTGACCGCGGCTACAGCGGAGATCGAGGCCGTGGCAGTGACCGTGGCAGTGACCGTGGAGGTGGTCGTGGCGGACGTGGCGGGTCTGAGGGGCCCTCCAGGTAGGTTTATTTGTTCTACATCGGGAGAAAATCAAATCTAATAGGCGCATAGAATGTTGACAGACCCGGTTGAAGCCCCCAGCTCCCGTGTTCGGGACTTTGAGGACCAGTACGTTGTAGAGTCTGCAAAGGCTCGACCGGTCTCCAACTCTTTGGCTCGGCGTCCTGGCTACGGCACCCAAGGTCGTTCGATCGTGCTCCGTGCCAACTTCTTCCCCATGGAATTCAAACCAGGCATCGTATTCCATTCCTATCGACTCAAGATCAAGCCTGAGGCAAAGAAAGGACAACAAAAGTTCATTCTTGAGAGCATGCTCCGCAAGTACACTCTCTTCAAAAATATCGGCGTTGCCACTGATGGGGCCACTGAGATTGTCACGACAGAGCTACTCCCCAAGGATAGTCCGTCATTCATTTGTTCCATGGGCAATGGAGGTGGGCATGGAAGTGGGAGTTCGAAAAACTATACTGGCCCTTGGGATATCACTTTGAACCATGAGCGCTCTTATTCACCAGCTGACATGATTGCGGCCGCTCGGGACATCAACCGCCGAGAGGAACTTAAGGATGAAGCTCCCAGTCTCCGAGTACTGAACATCCTCATGAGTGCATATCCCTTTAAAGATCCCGGTGTTTACATCATCGGCAAGGGACGAAACAAATTCTTCCGGATGGGCCGCGGAAAGCAGTCAATGGATATGGGGGGTGGCGCTGAAGCCACTCGTGGTTTCTTCTCAAGTGTCCGAGTTTGTGCTGGCCAAATCATGATAAATTTGAATGTCAGTCACGGTGCATTCTTTACCCCAGGTCCATTGACCAAACTGCTTAAAGAATACGTGATCATTCACAAACATGACGCGGACACGTTGAACCGATGGGTGAGGGGCTTGAAAGTCTATGCCACGCATCTAAAACCTCGAGAGAACGGAGCTGGCCTGCAGGAAAAACCTATCAAATCAATCCTCGGAATTGCCTCTCCTGATGATGGACGCGGGGGCATCCACCCCCCAAAAGTTCTGCGTGTGGGATCTTCTGCCTCAAACGTGAAGTTCTGGAGGGAAGAGGGCGAGAAGAAAGGTTACATCAGCGTTACTGAATACTTCTTAATAAGTATGTTTGGTGCCTATCAGTTGATATTTGAGGTACAGTGTGCTAACAAGAGATAACAGCTTACAATATCAAGCTCGTACATCACAATGATATGCCGGTCGTGAATGTTGGAACCCGTGAACGTCCAGTTTACCTTCCTATGGAAGTTTGCGAAATCCTCCCCGGGCAACCCTTCAAGCCCGACCCTACCCCGACCCAACGACAGAACATGATCAAGTTCAGTTGCCGGAGGCCTCCTCAGAACTATGACTCTATTATGAGTGAGGGGTTGGGCATCATGGGAATCTCTGGAGGCCATATCAAGGCGGTAGGGATCAAGCCCGGCAACCAAATGGTCACTGTACCAGCACGGATTTTGGCTCCCCCAAATCTGCTTTATGGCGGCAAGAAGACCACTAACCCTCGAAACGGCTCGTGGAATTTGATCGGCACCAAATTCGCCCAAGGCGCCCAGATCAGCAGATGGACCTGTTTTTGGATTCGGAAGTCCGGTGTAGAAGATCCATTCACAAAACCTGATTCCGAGATGGACGCCTTTTACAGGAAGTTGCGTGACCATGGCTTGTCGCTTCCGGCGCCCTGTAAGCCGTATCTCTCTGTTATTCTCGGTTCGAATGATAAAGAAAATCGAGATATCATCAGGTCATCTTTCAAAAAATTCATGGGGGTGTTCCCATTCGTGGTTGTCTTGCTTCCTACCACGGAGGGCAAAGTCTTCGATTTCGTCAAGTATGCCGGAGATCTCAAGACTGGAGTCCTTACGCACTGCATGCAAACCACCAAGTTTAAAGGTGCCAATGAGCAGTACCTGAGCAACAATGCCATGAAGGTCAATCTCAAAATGGGAGGATGCAATCAACTCCTGCAGCCGGCGAATGCACGCTTTATTGGTACCGCAAAGAACACCATTGTCGTCGGCTTGGATGTCACTCATCCCTCCAGCGTAGACCCGGAAGTCTTCCCCAGTGTTGCTGCCATCGTTGCCTCCGTTGATTATCGCATGGGACAATGGCCTGGTGAGGTTCAAGCCCAAGCGCGCCGTCAAGAGCACATTGAATTCCTCGAGCAGATGATGCTTACCCGCCTGGAATTGTGGAAAGATACCAACAATGGCAATCTTCCCCAAAACATTCTTGTGTACCGCGACGGCGTTAGCGATGGTCAATTCCCCATGGTCCTTAAAGAGGAACTTCCAAAAATTCAACGGGCCGCCAAAGCGGTATACCATGGATCAATGCCCAATATCACTATCGTTGTCTGCGGAAAACGTCACAATGTACGTTTCTACCCTACTAACTCCAAGGATCAAGACAGAACATCCAACCCAATCAATGGATGTGTCGTTGACCGCGGAGTTACCCGCCCCATCTACTGGGACTTCTATCTGCAGGCCCAGGCTCCGCTTCAGGGTTCTGCTCGACCAGCTCACTACATCGTGATTCATGATGAAATCTTCACTAACTCGAAGGTCAATACGGACCGCAAGCCAGCTGATGTGCTACAAGAACTTACCCACAGCATTTGTTACATGATGGGCCGGGCTACTCGCTCGATCAGTTACAGCACGCCTGCCTTCCTGGCTGATAGGTTCTGTGATCGTGCCCGGAAGTATCTGTTGGCTTTATGGCATGAAAGTAACCAGTCCATCTCAAACCCGGATAAATTCCTAGGCAATACCCTGTCTATGGCGAGCGCATGTCAGAACAGCATGGTCTACATCTAAGTGGACCATTGTCATTTTCTATTCCCTTGTTGATATTTGACAACTTTGCCGATGTTATATGGAGTTTGATACCCTCTTTCTATGCTCCGATTGTTCTTTGGAATTGTTTCTGAGCTTTGATTGCAACGACTTTTATTGTTGGGCCGGGGAATTGCTCATGAGGCGAAAGCCATAAAAAACCACAAAACAACCAAAAAAAAGGGTGTAATGTTCTTGCTTTCTTATAAGCTTGAGATGTACCTATACTACATCAAGTGTGGAAAATTGAAAATCACAAAAAAGGTAGGATGGGAGGTTTATGCGCATGACAATAGCATGCATTTGCTTATTTGATTTCATTGTCCATGTCTGTGCTCTTGGATGACACTTGCACTGCAGCATGGAAAATACAAAAACCAAAAAAAAAGGGGACGAGATGTTAGAGTATAAAATTGAAAATAAATAAAAAAAAGCCCTGTGCCTGTGTAGCCACTAGACTTGCTGGTAGTATAATTGCAACTGAGAAGATCCTAGTGGATGGTGAGATTGAGCGGGAAACGCCGAATACTGAAAAAACATAGTATACAAGTGCCAGTCTACGTGGCACTCATTATTTTGAACCCTCGGGACAGTTTTGGCCTGTTATGACCTATGAGGTTGAACACAGTGCACGATAACCTCCATCCTCATACAACAAGGAGCGCGGGGGAAGTTCAGAGACTCCTTGGCATGAGATAGCTTCGATGCCATCTTTGATCCGGGGTTCTTTGTAAGATGTTTCAGCTGATGAATTGACCAATGGTGCAGGGCGAGGGCCTTCTGCCCTCTGGCATTATCTCTCAAAGTCAAGCTGGTATATATAGCATTGCGGAGAAATGACCAAGATAAACCAACATCACTTTTCACCGCTTGGAACTAGGGGACCAGGCTTCGGGTTGCCACTCTTCGCCTGGGTTGGCCTTGTTCGCCTTGATCCATGGGTTCTCCTCCTTTCGTATCTTCGGCTCTGCGGGTGCGGGTTTGGCCTTGGGGGCTGTTTCCGGGGATACGGTTGAAGGCGGTGCTTGTGCGGGAGTAGCTTTGGCGGGGTGTTTCAAACCCGCTTCATTGATTTGGGTTGATGGTGCTTGGTTCTGGGTCTTGGGCTTATCGAGGAAGGAGGCCTTGCTGGCCCAGCGTTCATCGGCGAGTCGAGCAAGTTGTTTGATTTGCGCCTGTCGCACAAGATCCTGCTGCTGCTCCTGGATGCTCGGGGGATGCTGTCGGACATGTCGCAGCCATTGGTGCCATTGCGCTGTATTGAAATAACATGTTAGATATGATTCAATAGTCTCATTCCCCTTTGCCCCGGAAGAGCCGCATGTGGTCAAACCCGAGCCTGCATTTTCCCTGCGATGGAACTTACGTGACACTTGAACATCACTAAAATGAGTTTTGGGATCGAATCGAACAATGCGCCGGAAACGCGCTGCATTCATGACATCTTTGAACTCCCAGAAGGTATTTCCGGCGAGATCCTCACCTAAGGCACGGTTAGCGGTACTGATACATAAGAAAAACAAAAAGCAGATACTGACCGACCAAGAAGGACTTCCGCCAGGGCAGGCGAAGTTTCTTCCATTTAAACCATAAGCTGTTAACCATTGTTGAGTGTAGAGAATAGAAATGAGGCAAAAAAAAAAGATTGAGGCGGACTATCAGGAACGTCATCGGAGATAAACACAGCCCGGACATTCCATTCCTCTTTCTCCATATCCCTCACCTTTTCTCTCCCCTCTTTTTCTCTAATTTCTACTTTACTACAAACCTTCTGCACCTCTAGTAATTAAAGCATCCTCTTCATCTTGTCATTTCCAATTGTATCACGGAACGCCCTCCTCTGCTACCCAACACCGCCACCATTAGGGCCGATCAGGCACCCGCAAAGGGATACATACCCGCACAGGTGGCAACAACAGTGCAACTACACTTACACACTCTGATCGAGCATCGATCATTTGACACTCATTATGGCTTCCGTGACTTCGTTGGACAAAGATTTGCGCAATATGCGCCTATCCCGCTATACCCCGCAGGCAGCCGCGGAGGTGCGCGACTGGATTGAAGAAGTGCTGCATGAGAAGCTAGCATCGCCAGACTTGCTCGAAGGCCTGAAAGATGGCGTCGCTCTTTGCAAGTGAGTTGTATCTGTGGCTTTAAGTACAATTAATCTGTCTGGGCCCCTGGCTAACTCTTTCAATTACAAGGTTGGTAAACCTTGTTGTGTCACCAGGCGTGAAGTATAAGCAGTTGTCCGCGCCATTTGTACAGATGGAGAATATTTCGCATTTCTTGCGCGCATGCCAATTGCCACCGCTCAACCTTCCCCCGCACGATGTCTTCCTGACAGTCGATCTCTACGAAGCAAAGGATCCGGCGCAGGTTCTCCAGTGTCTGGCAGCATTCAGTCGGCAGGCCAATGCCCTTGCGCCCAACAAGTTCCCACGGACTGTTGGTCCACAGAGTAAGCGCAATGTGGTCAGTCCCAATGCGACGGGTTCCTCGAGCACTGGAGCATACACACCCCGATCAACCCGCTCCTCCAGCAACGTCGGAGATGGGAGAGCCCCCGCCCTTGCCTCTCGAACAGGCAGCCCTGCAAAACCGTCCGGGTCATACAGTACTTGGGCCAGGAAGGGAGATGAGCAGGCTACAACGCCGGCTTGGAATATTCACCAATATGGCTACATCGGGGGGGCTAGCCAAGGGAATCAAGGAATTGCATTCGGTGCTCGTCGACAGATCACCACCCCTGGACCTGCTGTACCAAGTCTTGCAGAGAAAGAGAAGCGTAGACGTGAAGAGGATGAACGGATCCGTCAACAGAACGCAGAGAAGGAAGAAGCAGAACGGGAACACCAGCGACGGGTTGCAGAAGTGGAGGCCCGTGCTAAGCTAGAAGAGGAGCGCCGATGGGAAGAAGAGACTGCTCGTATAAGGGAACAAGAACGTCTCAAGGTGGAAGCAGAAAAGAAGCGCTGGGATGATGAAAAGCGTCAATGGGAAGAGGAAGAGCAGCGACGTATGGCGGAAGAAAAGGAAGCCGAGGAGCGGTTTGAGCAGGAGCGACAAAAGAGACGAAGCCTGAATGATAACCGTCTCAATGGCCAGTTCCTGAGCCAATACCAGGCTTCCAACTCCCAGATTAGTGATGTTGCCGGAACCAAGCCGGATGAGGAAACAGCCCAAAGCCGCCGCATCAAAGAGCTCGAGCGCGAGCTACAGCTGGCAAAGGACCGGGAGCGCCAATACGAGACTGGACGCCAGGAAGTCCAGCCTGGAAAGACTGGCGATCAGCCCCAGTCTCGCAGTCAAAGTCGCCCTCGTCCCGTGCCCCCTAAGCCTAGCTATGATCTCTCTTCCCTCGAACAAGAACGACGGCTCCTCCGTACAGAGTGGCAGAACACGCAGGACATGCCCGCTACTTCTGAGGCAGAGGAACCTGAACCCGTCGAGGAGCAAGCACCACCCCAGCCCCCTCGTCCTCTCCCAGTACCAAAGCCATCATCTTTCTCTGCAACGCCGGCGCTGCCTCCCAGAGACCTACCCGCATCGCCCCGGCCCCTCCCAGACCCAGTAGCCTACAGTGCCGGCCGAGGCCGCGAAAACCGCGTGGACAATTTCCTCTCTTCGAACCCAGCACCTGCATCCCCAGCCCCAGCCACCCACCGATTCCAAGACTACACCACGACCTCCGAAGTCGACGCCGAGAACAGCCGCCGCGTGGCCTCACAGCAGAAGACCAAAGCCGGCGGTTGGGCGTCCAAGTCTCTCCTGGAACGAGAGATGGAGCGCGAGCGCGCGCGCCAAGAGGAGTGGGAAGAGAACCAGAAACAAACGGCGGCTGCGGCCGGGCGCGGCGGCCATGATGGCGCGCAAGGCTCAGGACCGGGCCAATCTTGGGATATTCATCAGTATGGTTATATGGGAGGTGATAATCAGAACCGTGGCGGTGTTGGCCTTGGTGTCGGTGGCGCTAGACGCCAGATTATTGGGCCTCGGACACCACGGTAAGCTGTTGACTTGTGTTGACAACTTCTGAGCCTACCTATTCAACTTAGGGTTCTTGTTTCTTTGATTCCTTGCCCCCTTCTATTTTCTTACCATCATTTCTTTCTTTCTTCTTCTCCACTTTAGGTCTATTCCCCCTAACTCTGTGGGCGGATATTATCATTGAAGCAGAAGACATATTATCACATCTCTGCGTTGGTGGATTTTCTATCATTTGCGTGCTTAGATTCCCGCTCCAGCTTACTTTGTTTTCGACGCGATGTGGTTGTAAATAGCAGCCGTTATACTCAATATCCTATATTAAACACATTCCAGAAAAGACCGAGTTTTACAGGATGATCACACATCCGTAGGATACTCCTTTCACAGTAAGGGAAAAGAATTGGCATTTAATATGTGGATAGCACAGGTACTCACTCCCTGGTCTTCAAGTATATATCACAACCATTATATTCAAACCGAAGAAAAGCAAAGCGCATTAAAACGCTCCATAAACACCCATAGACGCCTTGAATATGATCATTAAATATCATTACCATCATGAACATCATTACCACAACACCACTCTTCGCTGTCCCCACAGAAAAGCTTCATGGTAAGATATGATCGACCATAAACCTCATCCTGAATCCACTCTCCTGCAAGTAAGTCCATTCAATCGAGTTCCGGTCACGACTAGCCTGCTCCCGACGTGTAATCCCAGACCGGACAGCTTTAGCCAGCGATGGGGTCACAGAGAGCATATTGTTCTTATGCAGGAGCGTCATCAGCGCCTCGAGCAGAAGGGAGATCTTGGCATTGTTCCCAACGTTCGGGGTAGCCGCCCCGTAGGGGAGGAAGCATTTCTCCAGCTTGGCCTGGGTAAGGTAGTTGTTATCGGAGGCCGGTGCGGAGCTTTCGCGGAAGACGAAGAGGAGGAGTTCGCAGAGAGTAGAGTGCGCTTCGGGGGGAAGGTGCGGGAGGTTGGAGGGGCTGATGAAGTGTTGGAAGAGTGGGAGGGAGAGGTCGCGGATATTCTCGACGAACATGTCGTAGAGGTTATCTAGGGGCATGAAGTCCCGGGATAGTCTTTCAGAGACACTGGAGAGGATGCCGAGGAGTTGTTGGCGGAGGGCGAGGGAGGTGTAGCCGCCTAGCGGGGATATATTGCTTTCGTGGGAGGGTGCGTGGCTTCCTTTGGCCAGCTTGATGGGGTCTGTGGCTTCGTCCATGGCGTTTCGTGTTCCTCGTCGGGTGCGCTTGCTACGCCGTGGCTTGCTGGCATTTGACCCTTTGGCTGGAGGTGATACCGAGGTTAAGCTTTGATCGGCTTCAAAATCCTCGTCCGAATTGTCCAGGTAGTCGCCATACTCATCTTTGTCGAGATTGATATCACCTGCCCTCTTTTTGATACTATGGGAGTCTTGCTCGGGAACAGAAATTTTGAGTTCATCGTTGAATACCTCCTTGAACTCGCCGAGGTTTGATTTGCCATTGGCAAAGATTGCCCGCATGATTCTGCGGTTCCGTCCAGCTGTGGTATTCGAGGTGATGTAACGGAAGATCAGACTTTCTCGAAATATTCCAAGATCATTATCCACCACTACCTCGACCTTAGGCTTCCTGCCCCTGCGTCTTTCTTTCTTGGGAGGTTCTGCACCTAGCGCGGGCTTATCCTCTGACTTTCCTGGCACCTTCGACCAGACCGAGGCATCCCTTTGGTTTTGTTTCGCCTCTAGGTATTTTTTTTCATGTTCTTTCCAGTCATCTTCGAGTACGTTGCACATAAACTGGAGCCATATCTGCCAGCGCTCCCACCGCGCCGGGTGAAGTACCGAACAATTAAATGCCCACCCGACGGCGTGCCAAAAGTCCTCTGCGCAGTGCCACAGCGAAGAAGCTTGGTTGAATTTCGTGTTCAGAGGCTTGGTATCAGGATTGTCATGCTCAATGAGCATCGGGCTTTCCCCGCGCCACCTACCCTGTCGCGAAGATGCAAGCTGGGTGAAGTTGAAAGCGAGCTCAAACCTTGCATCCATAGGTCCAACAAGAGAATTCGTCAATCGAAGAAATCGCAAAGCTGCATTGGGCGCTTCTTTTTCGTACTCCGACTCGGCGCGCGTTGTCGTTTTTGGGTGCACGAGCATCGTAGCTGCGACGGCCAGATGCTGTGGGAGTGGAACCACAGCTTTTGTCGATGAGATCGTGCCCGATGCAAGGACATTGAAGAGAAGGCTATAAGCTTGCGGCCCTATTTAAAAAAGGGAAGATGATTAGCAGTGTCTCTTTGGGGTTCTCCCGCACGCGTCAAAGCACGGGAAAGGGAACATACATAATGAATCTTCAAGGAAGATTTCTGTCTGTCGAGCCAACTCCCATTGAAGGGGTACGGGTGACCGATATGGTACCTCGTCCATGGTCTCCATAGTCGGCATGGCTAGAGGGGGATTTTTGAAAAGCCAGCTGAAGAGGTACATTTTGAGCTGGGAGTAACGCGCTTATCGATAAGGATTCGCGGTGGAGAGTGGCGTATGGCGCGTGGAAAGAGGTATATGTCCGGCAGAACAGTAGGCAGTTGGATGTTGATATATGTGACATTATTTAAGAGCCTAAGAAAGGCATCTCGATAGGTTCTAAATACTTGTTAAGATAATACCGTAGCCAGCAAACTGAGAGAAGCCTTGATAATCAATTCTATAAAAAGATTGAACTTCTTTGTTTCGAGGGCGGAAACAAAGGCGGTGGAAAGTATACCTGAACAATGAACTTGGCTAGTTATTGTAAAGGCTGAGTCACCTTTACAACTTAAGGCATCATTAATGCTTCCTCGATGTCTAGGAACCTTTGTATATAGTATTTTTTTTTATTATACTTATTTGCTCAACGCAGCGAAGCAAACTATACCGGGAAGGGGGTCTAGACTGGCACTGGATCACGTCCATGTGCCCGTCGATACTTACGTTTAAGTAATTGCTTTCATTCTAGTTGACTAACTATTGGGGCCCCAATGGGTTACCTAATGGGTTGGGTTGGGTTGGGTTGGGTCCGGGTTAGAGTGGGTTGTGCCGAAGTCTAGTGACAGCAGAGAAACCGACCCCTACACCTTGCAAATAGCCACTGATTCTCTTCAGACATATAACGATTCAGGGAAATGATGCTCCCTAAACTGATAATTGGATGTTTCTGAAGACTGATCTCGAGTTCTCTACCCGAGGTGGTGGAAATGGGCCAATGTGGTATGGTTTTTACATAGAAAAATAAGTTCCGTTGCCCTCTTAGTCGGCACCTCGCCCCATTGCCCCACCGCACTATCAGACGCTAACCTAATATGGTAAGTCTATCTGATCTAATTCTATATCTCGCCCGAGGGCCTTATGTTTCCAACGACCTCTATTCTTTAATCATATTATTATAGGTATTAAAGGACAGCCACTACCGATAGAATAAAACTAGATTGACCTAAAACTAAGTTCCTAAATACCCCTAGGAAACAATATAATAACTTTGGTACTATAAACCCTAGTCTAGGTCTAGGTCGAATGCTTATACCCAAGCCCCTGATGGGATTTCATATATGCGAAGCTATACCCATGGAAATTCTCAGGTCGCTAAGTGCCACCAAATCCGAGAAGGACAATCTCCAGGCGGCCCAGATCACGCATTTTGTAAGACACCCAATAAGCCAGCATGAGCTTCCATAATTTTCACAGGTAAGCTAACATTAGTTCTTCTCTAGGCTGAAAAGGTCTGTTCGACTCTGCAGCGTGCATTTGCGGGCACAGATAAACAGAACCGGGTTATACTTTGAGCTTTGCCTTGACCCACTCATATGCGAGGTATTAGAAGGTGGAAGTTATCATTCCCTATTCCTCAAAGAGCATACCATAAGTCAGTTGTGTTCCTATCAAATCACAGGTGTGATTGGCTTGGTTCTCAAGCTATTAGGTAGGATCGATGGGGACGAGTTGTTCGAAGCCGCCTCCCCCAACGTTATCAATACAGAATCCCAGGTCAAAAAGGGTGCTCCGCTGCAGAGGCTCTCCTAGATATTCAGGCTTTCTGTGCAATTCTAGCGGACGGTACCGGCTTTGGCAAGGTAGAGCAGATTGAGCGAGATATTAGTAGATTTACACACGACTTTAGTATCAAATAGATGGAGACACTCCTTTAGCATTCCTATACTATCCCCAGAACGATTTTATAACTATAGAGTATCCAAGGTACCTTTCGTAATTAAGGATGTAGGAAGCCATAATTAATCTATACTAAGGCCAATGGCTGAGATTCGGTAGCAATGGATTTGAAAACATGCAAACCTTGAAGCAACGTTGTCCTGTAGCCGTGTTCAACGGGATAATTCCCAAACAATCCCGGTATTCTCCTTCAGGGATTCGAGCACTTGGGTCTGGGGTATTATGAGACCCACTGGTAGCCCATTTTCCACATGTAGCATGCCGACCAATTGGCCGACCCACTTCCAGCCATCTTCATCTGGAACAGGTACGAAAAGACCGCACCCTGAGTCTCCTTTCGCACATACTGCATGCTCACGATAAGTCTGATGGAGCGTAAGGAGTTTGTATTTGTTAACATCAGTCGGCGCTGTTCCTGGGGGCGCAATGTCTGCCGTTCCTTTTAGAAACACCAGGGCTTCGGTCTGACCAATCGTTCCTGTTGTACGACCTGTTGCTGCGCCATCCTTGTAACAGATCTGTCCGGCTTGTGGATCGAGGTTGCCAACGAGGCCATGCGCTCCGAGGAATTCGGACTGATATTTTTCAGTTACCATGACGAGGTCGGTCAGTTCTCGAGGCTTATACCACTGGCCATTTGCCCCAGCCCACTTATCGTTAACGTAGAATAACACAAAGTCGCTCTTCCACCCCTTCATTGTGGTACCAATATGGCCGTGCACCACATGCCCACATGACTCATCCCATCTTCGTAGCAATCCACCAACACGGTCATGATCTGCATTCTCGGTAGCGGCGAGGAGTTGACTGAGGAGGTCGAGTGGTGCCGGTGTTTTCACAAGCGATTCGTTGACTGTCTTGAATGGTAGAACATGGTACGCAGTCAGGGCATATATCTTCTGTTCAATGCCGGAAGGTGATAAAAACACGCCCACTGAGCCTTTTGATTCCTGGCCCATAAGAGAAACGGACTGGCCATGAGAAATATGACCATTCTCTTGCACGGCACATGGTAGGGGATTTTTTCGAAGCAGGTGACGTCTTTTGCTGAGTTCCAACTCGTTTAACCCTGATGGTTCCAGGAATTGCTGCGCCTTGGAGACATCATCCATTGCGTGGGAAAATTGTGCCTTCATAACAACAACAGGCACTTTTTCGGAGGCAAGGAAAGCATCAAGGCCTGTTGTATCGTCATCATCAACATAAAGACAGATGCAATCTATCGATAGCTGGGGCCAACCAAACTTGCAACGAGTAGCCACTACGGCCCTTGCGGTCTTGCTGCCACGAAGGAAGTCCGAAATATATGGGAGATCTTCATCAAAAGGCTGGACTGGTTGCAGTTGAGATGGCACGAGAATCGTTGGCTTCGGCAAAACTGGGAAAAGTAACTCGGCCTCTCGAGGCTCAGCATATTCAACGTGGATACTGCCTTCAATATAGAGCCCATCGCTGGTTAATCTAGGGGAAATAATTAGCATTCGCGATCTAGAATAAGGTGGCATCGACATACTGCTGGTTATACCCTTTTGGGCCATCAAGAATGGCCATCGATGCCCAAAGACTCGGCGTAGATGGGCGGCCGTGAAATGTGCGAACGCCCCACTTGAGCAGCGCAGTCATTGTTTGTGTGTAAGACGGATGGGAATCCAGGCTGGGGGGATAGGAGCCGAGGCCAGGCAGTTGTTTGACGTTGAACCCAGGAAGCTGTTCAACGGTCGTGCCATCCCGCAATCTTGCTTGGTTACCCTCTGCTAGGGCTCTCACCACATTCAGAATATCTTGGGGATCCGGCAATCTCAAAATCTCCTCAACTCTCTCTGAGAACTCGCGCAGGAATGCTAGCCTGTCCATTCTTAACGGTCGAGATGGTGTTGTCACAGGGGAGACGGGTCGCTTTCTTTTCGCACCGATTGGTGTAGCCGACTGGGGTTTGGCTAACATGTCAGCCATGATGGTACAGAAAAAAAGAGGGAAGAGGGCTTGGAGTAGGGAGTGAAGACTGGACAGACATACAGATACAATGCCAGGCTATTTTAGGGGTAGGGTACTGGGAGTAACAGGTGCAAAAAATGGCAAGTGCGACTTTGAGGCAGAAGGCCGAAGTAGAAAGTACAGGCGCGAGTCTTTATATGGTCCAGTGGGTGTTTTGATGCCGCGAGAAACTTTTAGGGAATAAAGGAGCAAAAGAAGTATCTATCACCTAATTAATTCAGTGTTTAATTAGATGATTAGATATCTTGAACATCACGGGGTAAAAAAAAGTGTTTCCACACGATTCCGTGAGTATTGGGTGCTTATGACAGAATTCTGTACAAATGTACGGTATGATGACCGTGACGACTCTTAACTCAAATGATAAAAACCATGCCCAGGCACTTTAACAGATATGCGGATTCATTTGGTCTTGGCGCTCATAGGAAGCTCTTGCATTTAGGTCTCTTCCACGTAAACAACTGGTTGATGATACCATGCAGGCTCCTCTCGATTTCGGCTGAGTCGATTATCCCTTGTAATGTTTGAAGGAGTCCTGATTATGCAAGTATGGCAAAGAAATCACTTTGGATTTTGGTGAAACCTGGTGCTCTGCCCTGTCGTCATTCTTTGGTGTCGAAGGTTTACTCGAGTGGGTGGAGAAAACCTTCACCTTGCAAGTTTGGAACTTCGATAGGAAACCAAATCGGAGGTCATACATGCCCGGATTTGGCAGAAGGTGCTATGGCCTGCGGTGCAAGCCCTGTGCCAGGCGGAAGGACCGGCGAGATTTCATATAACAAAAGCTGCTGACCTCCAGCATTCAATGATATTGTTGTGAAGTTTCGATACGAAGACTAGGATCCGAAATCTGGAAGAGATATCAGTCCACATTTAAAGGCTTATTGAGGTTACTATCTCCTCAAAGCAAGCTTTTCTCAGGCTCTTGCTGTAATTCCGTATTTCTCCTTGACTGCAAGGCAAAGATCCGTTTTTATGAGTCAACTACTAGCTGCTGCTCTTGGTCAAAGAAAGAGGTACGACAGAACAAATAATGGAAGGTAAATTAGATCCACGTTGCGCCATACTTCACTATGCCTCAGAAGCTCTCACCTAGCGGAAATATAGACGTGCCGAGAGCAACCCATCGAGTCCATCATTCTGAACTCTGTTATGACCACCCAGGTTCCCAAAATGTGTCATGTCGACTTAATCACTCCAATCACACACTTCGTTTGCCCATCCAGTTCTGACTACCTTCATCTTACACAACTAATGACTCTTACTTTTGCTTTCCCTCTTTCTCTCCCAGATTCCTTTTCCACTTCGCATGATCTGTTTTCTTGTGTAATTTCGGTGTATTGACTTTATTATGCACCAATATTTACGACTGGCTACCCATTCTGTGCTCTTCGATTTACCGGTGTACCAAGGGTGGTTGATTCGCTGTGGCCAGTTTATACATGCAAGTGGTCGATATACCGACCTGATAAGCCCAAAGATTTTCGGCCTTGGCTAACTTTGTCACTTTATTGACACTTGTGAACAATCTGTCGACCTGGAGGGCCACTTTTCTATCTAGTCATTCTTGCCTTGTTTACCCTACTAACGTATGTAGATTATAGTATATTGGCTCACTCGTCCCATAGGTTCAGACCCTGACTCGTATTAGACCTGGTAGATTGATCATCTTGAAAATTTGCCCAAATCTAAGCTAAGCGATTTTCTGTCTCTCATGTAGTTTTCATAGATAATACACTAGTCGGAGTGACGTACAAAGCTATTCAAAAGATGGGGTTTGAGACCCCAAGCGAATATTAGTATCTAGCCTTACATCCTATCTGAATTAAATTAACGTAATCCAAACAGGCTTGAACAACCTGCCGAAACCCATACCTCTTAAATTTATTTCGGAGACTATTGAGTAAGGCTCGAATTATTCATCTCTTTGTTCACGCATATTGCAAATTCCCTCATGAAAAAGAAGAATTGAATAGAGATCATATTGTAGCTTAGTCTTGATGAGTTGATCAGATACTATAGGTTTCCTCTAGGTATCAAGTACCTTAAGCGAAATTACTTGTCTAGAGTGGTCTAGTAGTTGTAGGTGAAATTGACAGCCTAAATACTCCAATTGAATTTCCATTAAGAGTACAAATATTGATCTTAGATTAGTTTAGTGAATCGACCGAGTAGATCACTCAGCCTCATAACCCCTGAGATCCGTCCCTGCCGCCACATCACAACGACAGCGGTAATCCCGCCTAGAGTCACGGCGGTGAGAGTCATGTTGCGCAGACATTGATTGAAGCGATTTTTGGTGTATTCATCTATGCGATCGGAGTAGGCCCCTGGATTGTTGGTTCGGGGGAAGGGCGTGTCAGGAACAGGCTTGTCAAGAAACTATCTCTGTTATCACTCACGGGTTTGAGAAAACTCCAGATGTTTCCAAATCATACCTTGCAAAGCGGCTCCCAGCCATCCTCGACGGACCACTCAAGCAAATTATCCTTAGGCACCATACCCCGGACCATATTGCAATGGTCGCGATAGACCCATTTAGCGTTTTTCTGGATACCATCTGCAGTAGTCCTGCTGTGAAATATGCCCGGGTATCCTTCTCTTAAGTAGAGACTGTACAGCCAATGAAACTCCCCGGAGAACCACTGCAAAAACCACGTATACCATGATTTATCGACCCCGTCGACGATGGTTTTGTTGATGCTGCGGTACCAGGCGTCCATATCGGGACGTAGGTTGAGGACTACTTTGGCGTCTGGGTATGCAGCGACCAGCTGGGGCGCAAATAAAATACACAAGGAATCAACCACAGCCTGGCTATCGCCGATCAGAATGTCGAACTCTGCGTTGCTAATGTGCACGTCGCCATCGCGAGCACCGCTGTATTTCCGCCGCACTAGCTCCGTGCAGAGTTGCAGTTTGCTGCCATCTGGCTCGAAGACCAAATCCCAGCCATGATATGTTTGCAGACCCAGAGTTCGCAAGGCCACGCTTAATGACTCGGTTCCGGTGCGTGGCAAGCCCAAGCAAAGCACCTCGACGGGCTTGCTGCGCTTGTGCGGAGCCGGCTCAGGGAATCCGTAGAATAACCGCTGGAAAGCATTCATTGAGGCTCGAAAAAATGTAAAGCTAGGGTAAGATTAGAAAGAGGGGGTTTCGGTATACACTAAGTAGCAGCTACAATCGGTCGCATTATACTTCGAAGATCTCAGAGTGGGTCGATTGAAAGAGGCTGAGCACGAATGCGGTTAGGCGCCTGAAGTCCGGGAGCGGTGAGATATGTGGCTATATATTCAGTTTCATTATATTATACTGATTTTAGTATTATAATGCCAGATTTTGTACAAAATTTCATACAAAATCACGAAAACGGAGAGGGAAAGCCAAGATGTGGCATAGGAAATCCGGTACGTAGGCCACTCTACCGAGCGTCTTTCCTCTGCCAGGTGGGGCTTTCCTTTCTGAGATGCCACTGCTTTTATGCGGGCACTCAGAGTCAGACTCACTGAGTAAATCTCAGACCGGTCTCAGACTCAAGACTCAGATTCAGGGAGCTGATCAGAATATTCACGTGACTGCTCAGAGGGCTCTCAGTGAGTGTGATCAGTCAGCTCACTGATTACTCAGATACCGATCAGAGGCATCTATTGAGCACCCAGTCCGCCGAGCCCCACAATATTGTTTATTTCGGTAATCACTTTTGTGTAGCCCTCTTTTTCTGTCATGAAGCCATTTCTTGAGTCATTGCATCCTTTCAAGGAAAAAAAGCTCGAATAATCATGCCGCAAAAAAGGAAGGCACCGGAGGAAAGCCGTTTTTTGGCCCTAGTTTTGAAGAATACCGGTGATCCGTGCCTAGACATTGAAGTACAAAATAGAGGTTCTACCCAGGCAACATGATCTCCAACAAAGCATTAACAAGCACAAAATCTGCTTTTACCCGCGCCGGCTAAAAGTGCGTAGCCCCGCGTAGATGAAATTAGGCAAGTCAATGACTTCAGCTTCGGAAAGAGTATCAAGGACATCCTACAGGACAAGATTCAGGTAAAGAACAGGCTACGATGAGTATATCTTCAAAAAATATGGTATAGAATATACATTGGTATTTCCAACTTCTACAGAAACCCTTGCCCTCCCACGCTTTTCCCGTCTCCCCGAGTTTCGCCCACTGCTGCCTTCTCCACATTATTATAGTACTGAAGCACATAGGGACGAAACATACAGATCAAACAGTAAAGATTAGACGTAAACAGTCTACATAGCACTCGCAACGCAAAACAAACCATACATCGACCAACGCCCTATCTTCTCCACCACTAATCTGTCAGCGTTTCTCTACTATGACTTATCTTAAAAAACATCTTCAGAACTATATACTAAATGTCCGAGACAGTTTCGAGTCGAGAATTTGACCAATCGAATAGTTACAATACGCACTTTATCGATAGGTGCACTGTAGAAGAGAAAAGAAATATGGAAATAGAATAGATTTCTGACGAGGGCCCTGCGAGCGCCGTTGGCCAACCTTGGCGTCTACTGACCCATTTCGGGATTCGGCCGTCACTGTACCCGTCAGGATCACGGATTAGGTTTAGGGAGTGGCTAATTTATACTGTTCTATGTAATTACTCTGTAATAGGCATAGGCGGTTAAGAAAGCGGTCGATAATATGGCCCATCACAGGTTTTGAGCCGGTGGCGTTAATACAAAACATGTTCCATCATACAAACCTCTCTTGTTATCCCTCTATTTGCAGATTTGTGTCACTCCATTTCCCCTAAAACTTTCAATCTTCATCAGCACTCGAAGCCAAGATGACCACAACTGCTCAAGAATGCTCGTATTCTTGGTCCAAATGTACTGTGTCTTCGCTGACCGGGACAGCAATCGGGCTCGGCATCGCTTTCATCGGCTATCTTATAACGGGGCTTATCAAGAAGCACAGTAACAGACAATCTGGCGCGGAAAGGGATATAGAGAGCCGTGCACCTGATATTTCGCTCAATCCGCTTGGGAGCTATACCCGTTTCCCGCCAATGACAACTCTCCCAACTACGCCTGGACACACTATTTCTGATATGGATCGAGATACCGGGCTTCCTTTCATCAGTCAACAAGGCACAGGATGTGAACCTTGAAGCAACCTCGGGAACGTCGGAGGTCCGTGTTCAATACGGGCCTTGAATAGTTCCCTCGTCTCGGAGTTTCATTTGAATCAACGAGATCGGGACTCTTGCTGCGTAACGTACGCACGCATGTTCTTGGGGTCATTTTACAGGCTTACTGAAGTTATAGAGCAGTGTTCTGTGAAATTTAGATCTCATTAATGAGAAGGTGATGGAATAGCTGCACGCCCGCAGTGACTCACTCTGAGAATCGTCCTCGAAAGCCAAGTTCTGCTACGTCACAGCTGTCACTTGCACAGATATTCAAAATGATATGTCACCTTCATTCCTTTTCACATTCTCTACGCTAGCTTGATGGATGTGACGTGATTCATTCAGTGTAGAAGATAACGCGAGAAATATTGATATTCTATCAGGAAACCAAAGTTTTAGATACATTGAGGCTCGTCTTAGCTTCACCCGAAGGCTACTAGTCACCAGCACTGCGAAGAAGTGCGAGCCCATCGCTGGTGGCCCCACTCCCACAATCTAGTAAACATGGGCAAAGTGCAGGTGCAGGTAGTAGCGGGAAGTCGCCAATTGAAGCAAGAGCGGTCCTGCCGTCGGGTGATGGCCGAAGGACGTCATGCTGAACATCGATATGTTTGATAATTTTGCTATATAACAAATGACAGTTTGCTGTTGGGGTATATAGGAAGCAAATGGTTGTGCAAGAAGGAAAGATATGTCGAGAGTGATATTGAACATGGTGGTGAATCAAGAGAACGTTTGAGATGAGAGTTCATTGAAAGAAAAGCAAAGGGAAAGCGAACAAACCGAAAGAGTCGATAAACCATCATTACCTTCATACGTATGATCCGCCATTCCATGCGATTCTTCGTTTCTGGGTACCCGAAGAATATACCGACCTTCTTGCCAGCCATAGATTGTGCTGCTTCTCCAAAACCAATAGAAAGTCCTACTGCAGCAGCAGAAACAGTTGACGTACACTCCTCCATCGAGCGCTGGTAAGAAATAAGTGGTAACATTAGGCTCGAATCGAGGTTTGTACTATTACGCCCTAAAACCTCATTCGAGCCTGCTTATACAAATACCTCGGTGATGTGGGCATCATGGGCTCAGTTTACCGTATTTAATCTCTCTTCGACCCCGGGAAGTGTTTTGAATGCTCAAATTATACCACAAGGATGACCGCAATATATATTTTTAATATGTCGAATCATCTAACAAATTTTGTTGCTTATCTGGACCCCGGAATTCAAGTGTCTCGGGCTAGCCACCTTGACTAAAATGACGAAGCTTTTCAGCCTTTAGCGTTCGCTTCTAGGGCGCCATTAGAATCCCTATATCAAGTCATTGCAGAATCAAGGACGACCGCCAGAGAGCGTCAACGTGACCACAAGCAGTTTTTCATTGGCAGATCTGGCGAAACATATCGTCCAATGGTACATAATCCTGGCTGTTGAGATTTGACTCATTTCAGTATCTGGCTCATCTGAATCTTCTTCAGGATCCAGTCGTGGTTCCAGCAGCTCATCTGCCTAACGTACTCCGGTACAAACATTTGTCAATGGCTAGGAGGGACAGAGAGCTACAACAAAAAAATTGATTTTATCAATTCCTACTTTGATTAGAGGCCCTTTCAAAAGGAACTACCCTTCAGCCGGGACATGTAATTGCAACTGGGACGGGGAGACGACCTTAGAAAAACATTCACGAAGAATATACTTTGCTTACTTCGATATGATTGGTCGGTAAGGCTAAGAGATGCGATATGATTGGTCTGTCCGTTTGTGGCAGACTAAGCCATTTACGGGTACTGCCTGCCCTTCCTATAGTACCTCTACAGGTCTTTAGCATACAGGGAGATTTCCCCCCTCCTCCTCCTTAAGGTCGCGATGCGCAGAATATTAAGCGGCTGAGAATCGCAAATTATTCCTGCAAGACCTACCCAGAATGGATCCGTGGGCACGCAGTCAGCTCGTATCACTATATAGCCCGCTGATGTTGAATTTAGACAAAATCCACCAGTATGGCTTCAGCCAGGTGAAGAAGTCAAAGTATCGGTTACTAGCCTAGGGCCATTGATCAACAAGGTTGTGAAAGCGAATCTACTCGTCTCCTATACACCTACACCGGATGACTTGAAGTTACCGCAACCTAATGATTGGAGGAAATCTCACTGCAATACAAGGGGAGCGTCTCTACTATAAGAAACAGGGAAATGGCAGTACGCCAGCTATCTTTGTACATGGCTTAGGAAGCTCTGGTAAGCCTTCGCGCACCTTGACACGTCGCATTAACTGCGTCTATTGGACTTAGAGGGACATGGGTTGTGACGAACATCGCTCCTGTCTTCTATCAAGATTGAATCTCTTCCGGACGACTTGAATGGACATGTTTGAGAAAGCAGGCCTTACGACCGCTTCTGAAGCAACTATAGTGGCACATCCGATGGGATACCTTGTGACCTTCCTTTTTGCGATCAAATATCCCGAGAAGGTTGCCAAGTCGGTTCTGCTTAGTCCAGCGCCCTAAGGTACTAGTCAGGCCATGTGCTCAGTGAGTAGATCAGACCTGATCAGCTGGGAGGGCTCAGAGACGTGCTCAGATCTACTCAGTGAGCAAAAGCGGCGAGAGTCTGAGCACCAAAACGGAAAGGGAAAGCCAAGACATGGCATAGGAAATCCGGTCAGTAGGGATTTCTTCTCAAAAAGAAACCTATCTACATGACTACATACAAGATCTTTACGAGGTCAAACATGTAACACCTTAACCGACATGCAAAGGAGCAACATACCCCGACTCTACCCTAACACAGAATCTTCTACTTAGCGAATATACCGACATTCTTAGAATCGTTTTACAGTATGCCGAAGGGTTTCCCTTGGCCGATATCGCTACATGCGCCCCAAGGGATAGCTCGCAAAGTATCTGTGAGGATGCTATTCGAAACGTCAATCTTGTCACTGATAGAGGTGTGTTGAAGGAGGATGTGAAAACGAGGAATTTCATTGTGTAAAGTCACCCGGGAAATCAATTCCACGTCTTCATGATCGATCGCGGTATGAAACTTCCGGCAAAAATATTAAGATGAAGCCGAATGGGAGGTGTACAAGGTAAGGCAGGATGAAGAAGGGGTGGTTGGATGTGTTATGGAAAAGAGATTGCAAGGTGGATTTGTGTACCATCAATCTGCTCGAGATAGAAGGCTGGATGATAAATACAAAATGGACGGCTAAGATCAGCATGAATTTTGTTCTGGTTCTCAACCCTTGCAGCTTAGGACTTTGTATATGGGATTTGGGTATTGGATTTGGCATGAAGGGCTCACTATGGACGGCTCAGTACAAGGAACTCAATATAAGAAAGAAAGCTAGCCATAAAAAGTCATAGTAGTAATGACAATAACAGGATCGAAAAAGAAGAGATGAAGCTCACCAATTTGATAAAAAAAAGATGGATAACTAAAAATCATAAAGCGTCAAGAACGAAAGAAAGCAGGAGCTACAGCGGAAGTTGGATAGTCACAAAATATTATATATTAGATATCCACAGAAGAGTCTAGATATTAGAATAGTCTTAACATTTTGAGGGTGCAAGCACCCGGGCCCAAGCCTGAAAGCAAAACCATAAACTCCGAGAGCAAACCAGATATTCCCAATGATATAACCCTAAAACACCAGCTGAAAAAAAGCAGAGACAAAAAGGCAGAAAGAAAAGAAAAATCAAATCAAAAACAAGCTTAACAGAGAACAGCTTCGAGAGCTTCAACGTCGCCGCCAACACTGCGCACAGCCCTCAATGCGGCTTCGCTCAGCTTGCGACGTCTATCACGGGCTTCTTGCTCGCGGCGAGCCTTGGTCTTGGAGCTACCGGAGGGAGCAACTCCGGTCAGAATCTTATTGCGGTCGTCGGCGGTAAAGTTGACAAACGATACGCTGACAGACTTGTTTGCGCCTCGGGGCGAGGAGCCAGATGCCTTGACAGGCTTGGGGGTACTCGTGCTCTGGCCGGAGAGCTTGCGACTGTGGGTGCGGCGGTGGGTAGGCTTGGAAATGGATCCATAGCGGGTGTCAATGGGTGATGCCTCGGCCTTGGGAGAGAGAGATGGTGAACGGGAGATGTTGTGGACTTGAGAGGTGGTGAAGGAGGTGTCATATTTTTGAGGGGTGGCGGGAAGCATATTAGATGAGAATGAGTGGTCCGCCGACATGTCATAGGAGGGGTTGAATTGGATCATTAGTCCTCCTTGCATCATGTCATTTTGGTTTCCAACGTTTTGCATGGAGCGCACAGGCGTGGGAGATGTGAGGTAAGCGGCCTGTTGTTGAGCGACCCGAGAAGGCATGGGAGACCACCATTGAGAATCTTGGCCTTGGAGGTCTGGAGTGAAGGAGAGAGATGAAGCATGAAGAGGGTCTTGCTGCCAAGAGGAGATAGAATGGGGGTCGGATGAGTGAGATGAGGAGAAAATATCATCCGCAGAAGCAGGGCTGGAGTTGGTCAAGGTGGAAGAGCTTGGGTGGGCCATGTAGTGCTGTTGTTGCCGTGGTGCCATAGCGATATTCGGCGATGGCATTGAAACCGAGGGAGACTGGTGATATAGTCTTGCGTCGTACTGGGGAGGCATCTCTGCTGAGTCTCTGGGTTGGTTCATGATTTGTTCGGTAGGCATGTTTTCATGCTGAATAAGGACATCCGATGGAGGGGGCGACAGCGGCAGACGATCTTCTGAATTGTGAAGGTTGAAGTTCTGGATTCGCTGGGCCCAAACCTCGGGGTAAGCCATTCGTCCGTTGGATAGGTTGGAAGAGCGCATTAGGCTGGGAGAGAAAGTTTGCTTGCGCAAATTGGAGCGGCGCTCATTCGGGTTGCGATGGCGGATAGATTTGGGAGTGATGAGAGCGCTCTGGGCAGGCTTCCGTCTAGGGGTAGTTGGAGGAGTGGACGGCGATGTGGACAGACGGCTGGTTGCTGTAGGGCGAGAGGAAACTTCAAAGTTGTTCACATTGACATCTGAGATTGCGGACGGGTGGACGGTGTCGTGGAAAGCAAAATGATCGACAGCGGCTCCGTCATCCTGCAGGGGCCACTCATTATTCCAAGGTTGCGGTGATTGATGGCGTTTGGGAGTGGATACAGGTGGAAGATCGCCACAGTCACTCGACAGTGAGTCAAGCGGGAAAAGCTGATCAAAGTCGGCCAATGCCGAATCCTTTCCATCAGCGGCGCTGGTCTCCATATTGACGTATTGGTTGAACAAATCATTGAACGAATGGTCGTAGGGTTGGGCGAACATCTTGGAGTTCCGTTTGCGGCGACAAAGTAAAAGAACGGGTCGATAGTGTAGTCAGCGACTGAAGGTCCAAAGACTGGATGTGATTGGACAACCAAAGATATCTTTTGAATAGAGCTTTGGTAGGGTTTGGGAATAGTTCGGGGGGATCGACCCGGATCTCCGAAATGCAAAGGATGCAAAAAAGAAGTGTATGAATGCTTGGATGTTTGAATGTTTGATAGATTGTCAATCAAAGAAAACACTGCAGATGATGCAAAGAAAGCAAAGCAAACAAACAGATACAAGTCCTATTTGAATGGCTGTCAGGGACACCAGCCTCGGAATTTCTGGACACATTCCAAGTGCTCTAAAGATGGACAAGGAATGTGCTATGGAGGGCCCGGTTGGCTCCTGGCCGGCTCCACCAACCTCCCAAAAGAATGATTCAAGATTCCTCAAGCCAATCATAGCTTGCAGAAATATGAATGGCTGGCCGAGCTGTCAATCTTCGTCAGATCCCAAAGAGGTTCCGTTACGGATAGCCACCCACGGGAATGTAACCCTCCTTCACTAAGCCAGAAGCAGTGGAACAGCCATCAAATGAGTTGGCAAAGCGGGTCTGGGGAGGACTTAGGCATGTTGACCCGATACCTTTAATTGGAGATCGACATAACTTCTAAGAACAAGACTGTTAGGAAAGGAAATGGGTCGGAACGC